CTGAAGTGATGTGTGTCAGTGTAATTCTGACTCCAGTGAAACATCTAACAAAGTAAGCGTCTCTGTTTCCAAATATAATTTGTCAAAGTCATATGAAAGCAGAATCTGTTTTAAAAGAATATGAAGGATTCCAGAATTAGAATCTTGGTGGTATTCAGAGTGCCAACATGTTTATCGTTATTCCAACTCAAGCGAGTGGGTTTCATTAAATACAATCAAGTGAATTTGTATCATACCAATGGAGAGTATTTGATGATTCCATCTCTGGGAATGACTGTTTATCTATTAAGAAAACTTTCTGGGTCTCTTGGGGGATGGTTGAACTAATGAGAAACAGACATTAAGGTCCAGTATATGGATTTTACACAAATACTTTTTAAATCAAATATCTAATATCCTAAATGTATTTATCACATAAGATCATTAAATAGAGCAAAACACACTTATCAAGTGTTGCGCACACAAATACCACTTCCTACGAAAGTACACACGTACACCCTGTGTGTGCAACAATACTCTAACGCTTACTTCAATCAAAAGAGGCAAATAATTCCATTAAAATAGCCTTATACATATGTGTTATTAAGCCTGACCTGGGATGTGAGCATGTATGAACAACTTTACCAACCCCAACCCACTGTGTCCTAGTTTTTGGAGCTGAAAGGAGCTCTCACTCCCCCACTAACATCCTGAAGCCTGTATGCATACTCTAGCTAAGTGTCTCTTGGCCGTAAATACAAGATCAACTGTTGGCTCTCTGCTCTCACACCTCACTCCTTCTGATTGGTAGTAAGCCTTTAGGTCAGATACTTATTAATCTACCCGCAGCTCTCAGCACTAGTACCTGGACAACAGCTAACCTGACAACACACACACACACACACACACACACACACACAAAATGGAGAAACAGAGTGGTGGAGAGTGATGACCTCTGGCACCACTGTGACACTTGTGAATGTTTGCTTGTTTTTTCTCAAACAAGCCAGACCTGAAAGGAGAGGCTGTAATTCCAGCTAAGATAATGTAAAAACAAACAAGTTCCTATTGATATGGAGTAATGCTCCAGGAAGTTGTGGAGGGCAACAATGGGGAGACACAATCTGTGGGACAAGTGTAGCAGGCCTGCAAGAGGACAATAGAAGAGGTCTGATCTCTTAATGAATGGACATCATTCTTTGCTGCATGGAGCAGGTACTGAATTCTAATGCAGACCATTTTTCAATGGGATTCCTGCCAAATGGCACATTGTGTTGTCTTATTTAGAGTTTTAAACAGGGGAGAGTTCCGACATAAAATATGATTGTATTTTAATTTTTAAGTGGGTTGTCAGTTCTCTTGCTGTTATTGCTGATGGAAACTTGATACATCACAAAAATAAAGATGATTGACAGGGTGTAATCTTACTTATGAATAAATATTGTAATAATATTATTTGGTAAAAATATGTATTGAAATAATTTTAACAACTAAGGTCACAATATAATATGTAATATCCACAGTTATGTTATCTTGGGTTTTTGTATTGAATAGCTTAGTTATAATCTTAATCTTTAGAAGTAACATAGGCCTACTTTTAATTCTAGCAAGTTAGCACATGGAAAATAAATGACTATGGCTTTGTGTAGCAGGCTGGTCTCTGCATGAAATCCCTTTAATCAAGACTTTAATCCGCATTAAGGACGGCAGTGTCATAAATGAGGCCATCCTCTGCTTGTCCAGTATTCATCTTGATCATGATTATTGTAAAATGCCTGCGTTTGAAATTTAAACACTGACTAATTGATTATATCGTGTTTAGAAGTAGGCCTACCATGGCGTGCATGTCATGTGGTTCTCTGTAGCTCAGCTGGTAGAGCACGGTGCTTCTAACGCCAGGGTAGTGGGTTCGATCCCCGGGACCACCCATACACAAAAAAAAAAATATGCACGCATGACTGTAAGTCGCTTTGGATAAAAGCGGCTGCTAAATGGCAAATTATTATTATGTGCAGCACTGAAACTCAACTGAAATGGAGACGTTCTAGTAAAGCAATATGAATTCTTTCAGCTGGGTATTGTCTTGTCCCATGTCAGTTGATGATGTGTTATTTGCTAGTTTTCTCCTATTGAAAGCCTTATTTATCCTCATGAGGCGCACAAGTGAATCTGGATAAATACCGGATCTTAAAATAGTCCCGTGTTCTTCAACTGTTCGCATGTAAATTAGGCCGATACAACCTAGGCCTACTGGGTAAGTAAATGCCTTGAAGAGTGTAATGGGCGGTAGCCTATACCGGGAAGACGACAGACCGTTATCCGTTTTTTACAGAGGGAAAACCCTCATAAATGTATCCGTGAAACAACTTGTCTAATTTCTTTACATTAATTAAATAATTTCGAGCTGTTTAGAGCTTCTATTATACTGTCTTAGCCTCCAGCCCACTAATGCATCTGACCTAGTTCAAAGTGTGATCCAACTAGTTGTAATTCTTTGGGCATCGTGTTTAGAAACCGACAGAACTGTGTGTGAATACTACATGTTGAATGCGGTGTTATACAAAAGCCCTCTATTACAGAGAGGGGGGGGGGGGGGTATTCGCAAGAGACTGATCTATGGGATCCACCAACAACACAGGTCTCGGGGTGCGGTGGAAATGCCCATATTGCTTATGCTATTCAATTATGCGGTCAAACGCTCTGTGTTTTCTGAGCAATGATCAATTATCGGATGTCAGTGATAATAGTGAATGATGGTCCCACGCATCTCCCACTCTTATATGCTGCGTATCGATTGCGCGTGACAGAGAGATTGAGCGCGCACTGAGTATGTGTGCGCAAAATACAGCGTCAGTCACTTTTCCCTGCATTGCAAAAATATTCTCCCTAACTCAAGAGAATAACTACTTTTTTATTTAGTGAATCAACCAACATATTATTTTCAATAGACTCAATCTTAATGTATAGGCTATGTCTTACTCTAGTAGTACCCGCTTTATGAATATGATATAATTGTTAATAACTTTGTCATATTTTCATTATAAGCGAGAGATGCCCTCCTATACATTTGTTTCCAGTGGTGCCAATTAATTGCCCCTCTCAATGTGGGTGGGAGTGAGTTTCTGACTGTTTTCATTTAACCCCTACCCCCATCCCTCGCTTTCAGTCCTCCACTTATTTCAATTCATACCCCCAAAATTCTTGCTGTTTGTGTCATTCATCCCGTGATTGTTAACACAGTATAGTCCGACCGTCTGGGGTGAATCTCATTTAAAATGTCTCTCGCTCGGCTGGGCTGCAAATCACCCTGTTTACAATCTCACACCAACACTCACATCAATTAACTGGCCATTGATTTTTCCGCCCGGGACATTACAATATTGCAGACCTATTTTCTTGTCCCTCTTAGTTTTATCGCCGATATAATTCTCAGCAAAGATTCTTGCCAATGGGTATCAATACGAGTAGGCCTATCATTACCCTATATGACATACAGGTATGTAATTGTTTTCCAGTTTCCTTATCATCTCTGTATGAATAAGTTTTTATTTTAGTTGTGTTATTTTATTCCTTATTGTCTTATTTCTACCTTTTGAGATATTGAGGGATTGTGAACATAACACGTTATTCTATAGACTATACTGTAAATGGCAATTCCAATATGAAAATATATAAATCAATATTTAAATTTATAAAAATGTGAAAAATATGTATTACTTATTGATATTCTGTACTGACATATCAGTGTCCGCCAAACAAAAGTAGCAATCACCAATATTTTTTCCCCCTGTCCCTCCGCCATTAATAAGTAAATAGAGTCGTCCTAAAAGATAGCTGAAACAAGAGAGGACTAGATCCATCTAGCCTGCAGCAGCTCTTTAAATATTCAGTGAAAAATAATGGCATCCAAGACATCACCTATAGTAACATTATTATCTTCATTTCTCAACATCAGCCTGACTGATAGCTTCGTTTATCTTTTCCACACAATAAATCTACTAGACACAGAGCAGTTCCTATAGGAACTCCTGCTTTCTCCAAACATTCCCAAGGATGACTACAGGAGTCATCACGAATAGTGTATAATTATACAACTAAATTTATATGATTCTTATAATTGTAATATCATCATTTTTATTATTATTATCATTATGATTATTATAATAAAATGACTAACGTACATACAGTAGGTTTTAAAATGGAGTTAACTATTGGCTTCACATATTCAAAACAATGTTTAACAATTAAATTATATTAATCAACGCTTATTACGTGACCTATATTGTATTTTAATGCTTTATCAATAAAGATCTTGATTAATTTAAGTCTGGCCCTATTCTCCTCCCCGTTGTATATGCCAGTAGTTCTCTATGTTGAAAAAGTATACAATTATCGTTGTGTTTGGAGCAAAGATCAACGTCTATTCAGTGTAACCTATATAGTTTTAAATTTCTACTATTGGGATAATTATTTTCTTTAAATCCACTTCTTGAATAGCAACTGCTTTTGTCTTGTATTACAACTGCGCAATAAGGTTCTCCTTTTTGTTACAGAACTGATGAAAACATAAACCGGACGTACAGCAAAAGAGACACATAGGCTACCGGTGACATGATGGGCTACAGTAGGCTACAATTTGGACAAGACGCTGATTGTAGCGAGTTTGAAATGAAAGCAACTCAATGTTTCAATGACGCGCAAGTTCGTGAAATGTATGCATGATGCGCTGAAGTAGCCTATGTATAGTAAACATCTATAAACAACACAAACATTTTCATGCCTTCGAAACAGAATCATACACTCTTTACTGTCCCCTCTACTGGTCAGTCACTCGCTCACGCTCTCACACACACACTCGCTCGCGAACCATGTGTATGAGAGAGAGCGCGAGAGAGAGCGAGAGAGAGGGGAGAGAGAGAGCGAGAGAGATTGCACCTCCGACGGTTTATGATAGAATAGCCCAGTGACCAATCACATCATAGATGGGCTGGGCTCAACATTTCTCACAGTCCTACATGGGCCCTTAAAGTTTGTTTGTTCGCGGAATGCGGTGTGTGATGAAAACGTGTTACTAACCCCGTTCGGCGATAATCAAATGAATCTGATTGGAATATTCGATACATAGCTTGGACTTCTGAGACACCTACGGTGCCATTACGCATGAGACTTCTATAGTCGATCTACGTTTTCCTCGCTGCGTTGAGGCACCACCAACCAACGATTAGGTATCGGTGTTTCAACATACAAGATCTGAATTACAACGACCTCAATGCAAATCTGAAAGGAGGATATACACAGCAACAGGGATCAGAGTTGTGGAAAGTATTTGTATGTGAGATCACGGAGGTTTCACCGTGAGCGTCTCATCAGTTCAAATTTACCTAACTCTGCTGGGTTTGATCGCTGCTTGGTCAATAGGAAAGATACGGTTCCGCGCATGGACTCAAGAGTGACATTCCACTAGTAGCCAAGATAAGCTTTACGTAGCTACCAGCTGGTTGCTAAGAAGGGTTAAACTGTATCTAAAGGGAGTTGGAAAACCCAGCCTTTTCTTCCACACGGATCAACTCATTGGGTGGGAGCTGAGAGAGAGACAAGAGTCCCCAGCAAATCAGGACCTAATTGATTAAAGATACTTAATTTGAATAGGGGGCTGGCGAGGTGCCAATCGCCTTTCAAAGAACCCTGTATGATTAATCGCAAAGCATTATTGATAATCATAACAGGACACATGCGCGGTGGATGGGCTCGATTTTCGTCATTTTGAGCAGATTTTGTATTAATTTTGTATTATTTCTTGGCTGATGTGTGAGCCAGCATGTCGCGGAGGAAACAAGCAAAGCCGCAACATTTCCAATCCGACCCTCATCTGGCCTTATCCGAGCACAATGGTAAGTTCGGGAAATGGATCGCTCTTATCCAAGCTACTATCTTTCAATATCTGGTTTACAGATTTTTTTTGTCTTTTTAGGGTTGTTTCTTTTTGGATAGGAACTATTCCCCCTTTTCTAAGTTAGCCTAATTTTCAATGAAACCATGCAATTTATAGTCTCAAAATCAGCTTATCACAACTAGACACATTTACTATGTGTTTAGGCTATCTACTTAATGATCAAACTATAGGCCGTGCCTTTTGTATATCGCTCTAAGACACAGTAAAATACTTTTATTCTTCGAAATATCATATTATTGCGTTTTGTTGTTCATACAACTAGAATGAAACTTTATGTTACAAAATATAACCGTTAAAAAGTGCATGCGTTATAATCTTGTTATTAGGCTGCTTAGTCTACTTTTACCTCGACATAGGCTTGTCTGTAGCCTACACTTTTAGTATTCACTTTTTAGAACACTTTGTGTGGTAGGCTACAAAGTTTGAGTTTTTAATCAGCATTTTTGTTTTACACACTTTGGAGCAAGTTTCCTCTATTGCTGCGGCAGGCGAAGTTGCTGCAGCGAGACGCTCCTTCAAGTTTCTGCTTTTGTAGTCGACTCAGTTTTCACTCCAATCATTGCCCAACTGTACACTGTGCACGGACAAGATACTTGTGCGTCGAAATAACCAATGTTTAGGCATATATAGAATATAAATAATAATCTGCATACTCTTATAAAGTTTCTACTGTTTCTGACTGTCGCGTATGTAGGCTAGTCTACAAAGTCGGTATTTCTCAGCCAAGCATTGGCTAGATGAAAATCAAATGATATATGATAAAATATAATCATTATTTGCTTACAATGAATACCTTATCGATTTTCAGTTTGTGGACATCTTTGTGGTCTTAATGGTGGATGGTAAACATTAGTTTACAAATTATATGTAAACATTAGTTTACAGGGAGGTAGCTCAGTTGGTAGAGCATGGCGTTTGCAACGCCAGGGTTGTGGGTTCAATTCCCACGGGGGGCCAGTATGAAAAAAATCAAAATAAAATAATAATAATAATAATGTATGCACTCACTAACTGTAAGTCGCTCTGGATAAGAGCGTCTGCTAAATGACATAAATGTAAATATGACTTTTAAACCACAATCTCAATGTGATGCTCGATGCAACAGAACACTGAAGTCATAATGACCTTATAGTTATTATGTATATCATTATTTAATGTTAATACATTATAATAGTTTTAGGCTTAGCCGCATGCACACTTTTTGTTTACTTCCTACATTTCCCTTGTGTATATTCCTAAACCGAAAATATTTAAAAACTGAAATGTTAGTATAGATGACATACTGCTTCCGATTCTCTCTCTTTCGCCCCCCCCTTTTCACACACACACACACACACACTGAGAGAAAGAAACAGTGAGGCACAGAGGCCTGTTATTTTACGAGATAAACAAGTTAACTTCTCCCTGAAACTTCTCTCTATCATTTTCCAAAATATGTAAAGAGTTTTATGTTCATTTACTTTAACAAAAGCTCAGCACCAAATTACCGTGAAAATGAGCTGGTATAAAGAAATATGTCAAGTTGTGGTTGAGAGCATCAAAAAGATGGTTGCTTTTGGAAGGCTTTGTCACACTTGCGAGTTTCCACTACTCCGAAGTGACCAGCTGTCCATCTCTGTTAAGTCCACCCAACAGTCACGTTTCCTCTTATGATGATAACTTTGATAAAATGATGTCTTCCAGAGCGACTTACAACAAGTTGGGCTTTAATTTTCTATTGCTAAAGATGTGCTTTAGACCTGATGTGAAAAACCAGGTTATGGAAGTATGAAAACGTTTTTTTTTATAGGCCTACAACACCTATAGCCATAACTTTCACCCTATAGTGTTTGTAAGGTATTATGATTCGGCAAAGTTTAAGTTTCACTATCTTAAAAATAGCAAGCAATTTCCAGATTATTAAAGTTTGTATATTCTATATTGCCTCAAACGTACAATTTAATGCAATAACCATTAAAAAAAATTGTTGAATGGTCGTAGTGAAACGACTGTAGTTTCGATCTAAAATTGTAGAATTGTAGATGTATTTCAAAAGTCTCAAATATATAGTAGATTTAAGCGTTGCGTTTTCTCTGTTCATTCGTTTAAATGGTTAGAGTAGGCTTTGTCTTTTTGCAGATGATATTGTCATTGGCTTTTTTCAAAGGAAATCATAAGCTTCTGTCTCTGATACAGTTTCCATTTGACTTGTTTGTAGTGACTGCTCTATAGTAGCCCATATTACACTATTATTACTATTATTAGTATTCATATCTGTTTGTTAGAAGTGTTTGCCATGACATAGCCTACAGAAAGAAAACAATAGAGGCTCTTTTATTTACCCTATATGGTTGTTTTTTCCATACACATTGTCTATGTATTTTCCTTCTGAAGAGTTGTATGGAAAGATATTTTCATCGAAACAGTCCATTTAGTTTGACTTATTTTTACATCTATATTTTTGGAATGACTTGACGTTGTCCATGTTTTAAGCTGTTTGCTGTGTGTACAGCAATGTTGTTTGCAGTATACTTTCAGAAACACGTTATGCTAACTGGAAATAAAGGTCTGTTTCACCCAACTAAAAAAACCTTGCATGAGAAGCATTTATTGCTACCTAAGGTTGCATGATTTTGTTGGAACTAAGGATCAATGCAAAACATTGTCTATACCTAGAATCATACTTGTTTTTCCATGACTGTTGCGTTTTCCCTCAAATTTAATAAAGTAGTGAATAGTAACTTTAGTCATTCTCTGTCAGCAGACTGGTGCCTATTGAGTTTCACAATAAATAACCCAAATTCATTATGCGTTAAACAAGCTGAAAATGCAATACCTGTAATTCTGGGTTAGGGACATGGAATACTTGCATTTCTGATAATGGGTTGATAATTCTAGAATGTGTGCTCATGACTGAGAGATCTCCTGTTTGTGTGGAACTGGAAAGTCCTCAGGAGTCTCTGTATGCAAAATAAAAAGAGGGAGGCTAACATTCCCAATACACTTTAAGGAGATGCTGAGGGCATTTTGCAGCTGGGTAGTTAGTGTATGAGGCTGTGAGAGTCAAGGCTGTCTGTCTGTCTGTCTCTCATCTCGTCGCTCCAAGAGAGAGAGAGTTCTCGGGAGGGATGTTGAGCTGTTTTAACCTTTGCCAGAGTCCCCCTGTGTCTCCCTGTGTGAAGTTGATGAGAGTTCAGGCCGCAGTGTGTTCTCCTGTACCTCGTCATTGACCCCGCTGATCAGAGCCACAGGGGCCTAGCAGGGACCCTGTCCTCTATTTGTGATGGGGGGGTCTTATCAATGTGACCGCCATCCCCTTTCACCCTGCCAGAGTAGCCCCCCCAGAGGGAGATCGGCAGGGCGGTCCCCGGCCCTTCGCACTGTTGTACCCCGCAAACAACAGGGATTCAGTTACTTGTCATTTTGCCAATGTTTATATAGTGGAAGGCTGAGATGTATCCCGGCTGAAGGACTTGCTTGCTTTTCTCCCTTCTCCTCCCCTTTAAGCTTTAAGCATGTCACCAGGGCAAAGCTGCTAAGGCTGGGGCTTGTCCGTCCGGGAAACGGCAGCTTTAGTGGAACCCCATCTAGTGTTCACTGGGATGATTCCAGTGAGGCCAGCAGTGTGAGGGCTGGAGAGGAGATGGGTTAGCTCATGCAGGCATCAGACATCAGACATCCTACTGAATTCACAAGTGTGAAGAGGCTTGAAGCCAGCGTCCCTGCAAAGTAACGTAGGAACTCTCAAAAAGCTACTCTGTCATCTTTTCTACTAATCAACATTTCTATCTCCCTTATTATTCACTCGCTTCTGTCCTTTTTCTCAGAGGATCTCGGTTTTGGTATGTGTCTCTTCTGCCTCCCTGAAGGCCTGTGCTCTGGTGACTCCTTGTTGCATGATGATGATGTTGAGATTTAGCAGTTTTAGGACACCACTTTTATACAGAGTAACACATTATTTATATTCAGAGATAATCCTCAGCTATTTTTTAAAACATTGACTAACTTATGCACGGTTGCTGTAGACATTTGGGCGTTGTGTGTATTAGAGCTGTTCTCATTTAGGCTGCGTATTTGTTGGTGTTATTTTCATAGTATTCATTTTTTTTATTCATAAAGATATCAGATTAACAAAATATTCAATATCATCTCTTTTTAAATGCATGTCTACTTATGTAAACAGACATGATTACCTCAGTAAATGATTATAGATTTAAGACTTTCAGATACTGCATGCTTCTGAGATGTTTTACCATTTTTAATAGTCAAGGTGGTGGTATGGAAATAGCTTCTTGTGAAAGAGCACATTTGAGATGGAATAATTTGATTGTTTTACTTTGACCACTATTTGCTTTACAATCACTGAGTATTTACGAAGGAAGGGGGTGGGGTGTGCTGGGTGTTGAGAGTAACACACTTTGAGATTTAGAAAGTGAATTTACCCCTTGGTTGGTCAAATCCTAGCCTGTTACAAGTATGTTATTATTACGGACATATATATATATATATATATATATATATATATATATATATATTGTGGTTTCAGTGAATGTTATGAGAACTCTAAAGTTGATAACAGAGTTACATTTGGGCATATGCTCTTTGTTTTATTTTTCTCTGTGGTTTTGGATATAGTTATTTTGGTCGATAAACACGATAATGTTTAGATAGAATCCACAATGTGATACAATCCACAATGTCCAGTTTCCATTCACTTGATAAATGACAGAATGTTCCATTGAAGGATAGGTATTACTCTGTATTAGACTGACTGCCTAACTAAATAAGTTTTCCGCTAGTCTCTGAACAAACTTGAGCTAGTCACTTGTTCTTAGTGTTTTCCTACAGATTCCATTGGACAGTTTAAACAAACTTTTGGATGTATGGAATCTTCAATCTTTTTCTATTTTTTTTACATTAATGATATGTGGAAATAGTAGCTCGCGGCTTCAACATGTGTGTCATCACTACACTGCAGTGTACTTTAATCTAGTACGAGAATTTTTTCATTGATAGTGCACTTTTGTAAGTTTGTAAAAGTTTGCTCCTGTAGCCTCTAGGTACATTTTTTAAGTTCTTAAAGGGGGGTTCAAGCGCTTTTATTTTTTAGTTGACTTTGGAAAAGTTTTCTGACGTTTTTGGTTAGCTACATTAGTATTTTCTACAGCAGTGTATTCAGGACATTGTGTAAGTTGATGTATTTCCTCTTACTTAAAATCCACTTTCATTTGTTCACATGGTCAACCAATACCAAACAAAGATAGTCTTCCTTCCCACGAGGTAAATCAAACACATTTTTCATTACTGACGCTTTCAGGGGGGCTGCATGGTTGATATTAAAAAGTTACCATTAAAGTTGGAGCGAGTCTTCTCCGTTTGCATGGTTAGAGTGGTGTGAGTCTGGGTTTTACTGTCATGGCAACTTTGCGTTATCTGATGTCCCAGAGCAGAGAAACATTGAGGGAGATAATCCCTGAATTAAACAGGATCTGCTTTGAGTCGGCCAAGATGAGCAGAGCAGGCCAGGCCGTGTCGACTAGCCCGCCACTCCCATGCTGAGTGAACAATGGGAAGCCATCCTGTCTCAGTGGGGCAGGGCCGCACTCCTCTCTGTCTCTCTCTCTCTCTCTCTCTGGGTTTCATTTGCAAATGAATCCTCCTCCCTTTTTGCCCCTGATGAAAATGTAGATGGCCGGCGCCCACAATGAAAGGGATTCATAGAGAATTGCAATTTGTATATCAACTTGTATGTTAAACAGTGAGATGTTGGTTTGACAAAAAGGAGATAGAATGAGGAAAGTCTGGAGCACAGCAGTGGCCCATGGGTGTTGTCTCGCCTTTTGTTCTTTTCACACTAACCCCTGTGTTTGTTGAATGGACATTGCATAACCAAAAGCAGTTTCTATGCACATTTAAAATACAATTATCATTCATTTTGCGTATTCTTATTGGCTGGTATTGAATTGCCTGTTGCTTAAACTGGTGTGGCCAGTTGCTTGGTTTTGGGCAGCAAGATGTTCATTTTAATATACTGTATATGACAGCAGCTCCACTCATAGTTCTTGACTCACCATTTGTAGTTATGTTTTTGTTTTATTTTTCACTAAAAAGTATATATAAAGCATTGTGATACTTACACATTTACAACACTACAAATGAACAGTTGGAATTCCGTTTTTTATACAAAGTTTTATACTTTATGTTTAACTCTTCATTTTATATTAGGTACTATAATGTGTTTTATTTATTTTATGTGATGTATATTTATTAAATATACATTACATATTTATGTTATGTATATTTATTAAAATATGTGTTATGTAAACATTATAGTATAATAATGGCATATATAATTTTGCACCGTCTGTGTTGAGTGTCCGAGTGGCTAGAGAGAACAATCTGGAATCCAAAGGCTCTGTTTATTGTTGCTGTCAGATTCCGATTGCAGCTTCAATGGATACAAATTAGCTTAGTGACAGGGCTAACCTGTCCAAGATGCCTGTAGTCGAGTTGAAAATGAGCAAAGTTGACAGCAAATTGAAAGTCTAATAAGTCCTTCAAATGGTTGATTTACGCTCAGTGGACAAGTAGACATTGAGGAGTATGAAATATTGGAAATCAATGCTTCTCTATGAAATGTCATTAAGCACCAATGTCCTCACTTCATAGTATTTTATATGTTGATGGATTATCTATAGAAAATGATTACTTAAAAGATGGTTGGATTGATGAAACCCAGATGTACATCTTCAAAGATCACTTTTAGGCAATATTAGAACAAGCATTATTGATTTACATTCTTTTCTTATCCTGTTTCTCAGAGTCACCACATTAAAAGGGGTCTTTTACCTTTTTTCTCTTTGGTTTATTGTTGCTTTTTTGATGGTTGTTTTTTTGTGAACGTATCAAGCGGATAAGTGTAAAACTGATTAATTTAAGATTAACAACAAAGGAATTTGAATAGATAAAGCTGCTTCTTCAGCTGCAAAACATTTGTAATCACTAATCCTCTGTTTCCCCCTCCTGTGTTTTTCAGGGGACACAGAGGAGCCCTGCTCGGAGGAAGACCCCCCCTACAAGGAGTCAGATGCCAACGTCTGTAGCAGATGTTGTGCTGAGTTCTTTGAACTATCAGATCTTGAACAGCACCAGAAGAATTGCACTAAGAATCAATTAGTTCTGATAGTGAATGAAAATCCTGCCTCTCCCTCCGGAACCTTCTCGCCCGGCTCCCCTCCACATAATCCTGATGAGCAGATGAATGACACCGTTAATAACACTGATCAAGCGGAGTGCAGTGACCTTTTGGAGCATAACGCTCTTGACAAAGAAGAATCTATGGACGTCGACGTTTCCGGAATCAACGCTCATCACGGTCACGATAATGATGGAGGCAACAGCCACATGGAAGGAGGCAGTCCCATCAACATGAACACGGGCAGTGGAAACAGCCACAGCTCCAGCAGGAACAGCTCTGGCCCAGCACCAGGCACCTCGACCATCTCTGCCCCTCAGCTACCTCAGCTCGGCAACCTGACTGACCTGGGGAGCTTCTCTATGATCAACAGCAACGTCATCATCGAAAACCTGCAGAGCACCAAAGTGGCTGTGGCCCAGTTCTCCCAGGAGACGCAGCGCTCCTCTGGGACCGGGTCCGGGGGCCCCAGGGTGGCAGTGCCGGCCCTGATGGAGCAACTCCTGGGCCTGCAGCAGCAACAGATCCACCAGCTGCAGCTCATTGAACAGATCCGTCACCAGATCCTTCTACTGGCCTCCCAGTCCCCTGAAATGCAGGTGCCCCCCAGCATCTCAGCATCATTAGGCTCGTTGGGGCAGTCAGCCAACCCACTGACCACGCTCAGCTCCCATCTCTCTCAGCAGCTGGCTGCAGCCGCGGGCCTAGCACAGAGCCTGGCCAGCCAGTCTGCCAGCATCAGCAGCCTGAAGCAGCTGGCTGAAAGGGCACAGCTACCTCAGAGCAACAACCCCAGCAGCGGTGAATCATCTCAGAGCATCAGCTCACTGGGGCCGTCCACAGTCAACAACGCCCAGTCGTCATCTGACAAGAGGCCAATACATGCGATCAGCAGCAACCTCCACTCTCAGCTCAGCAACCCATCACACACTAAGTCGTCCATGCCAGCCTTTGGGATAGGTAGCCTGTTGAACCCTGTAACTAATCCACTTCTACCTCAGCCCCCCTCCGGCAACCCTCTATTTTCCAGCTCCCTGCCCAGTATTGGCACCACAGTGGAGGACCTCAACTCTCTGGCCGCGCTGGCCCAGAGGAAAGGCAAGCCACCAAACGTAACTTCATTTGAACCCAAGAGCAGCTCAGAGGAGGCGTTCTTCAAGCATAAGTGCAGGTTTTGTGCCAAAGTGTTTGGGAGTGACAGTGCCTTGCAGATCCACCTGCGATCTCACACAGGTGAGAGGCCGTACAAGTGTAACATCTGTGGCAATCGCTTCTCCACCCGGGGTAATTTGAAGGTCCACTTCCAGCGTCATAAAGAGAAGTATCCACATGTTCAGATGAACCCATACCCTGTCCCTGAGCATTTAGACAATATTCCAACGAGCACCGGCATTCCATATGGTATGTCAATGCCCCCAGAGAAGCCTGTGACCAGCTGGCTGGACAGCAAGCCTGTTCTCTCCACTCTGACCTCGTCAGTGGGCATGCTGCTCCCACCAACCATGCCCAGCCTGCCGCCATTCATTAAAAAAGAGGATCATTCGGTAGCCATAACCAGCCCTTCCATTTCTGCAAAGACTGACTCCGGTCGTGACGCTGCTGAGCCATCAATGAAAAGCAACGATGGGGTGTCTGAAGAAGCTGCGGCCCTGCCTACGTCAAACGGGAAAACTGAAGAGGGCAGTCACTCGTCGAGCTTTATGGCGAGAGTGAGCTCTGAGTCTGAGCGCAACACAGAATACACAACCTCCAACAGCCCTCCTATGATGACCAACCCTCTCATGCCCCTCATGTCTGAGCAGTTCAAGGCTAAGTTCCCGTTCGGGGGCCTCTTGGACCCGCTCCAGGGGTCGGAGACCTCCAAGCTGCAGCAGCTGGTGGAGAACATCGACAGGAAGGTGACAGACCCCAACGAGTGTGTCATCTGCCACCGCGTGCTCAGCTGTCAGAGCGCCCTGAAAATGCATTACCGTACTCACACTGGAGAGAGGCCCTTCAAGTGTAAAGTGTGTGGCAGAGCCTTCACTACCAAGGGGAACCTGAAGACCCACTACACCGTCCACCGGGCCATGCCTCCACTCAGGGTCCATCACTCCTGCCCCATCTGCCAGAAGAAGTTCACCAACGCAGTTGTCCTGCAGCAGCACATCCGCATGCACATGGGAGGGCAGATCCCAAACACCCCACTGCCAGACAGCTACCCTGAGTCCATGGGCTCCGACACGGGTTCCTTCGATGAGAGGAACTTCGATGAGAACTTCGATGACCTGGACAACTACTCTGATGATGATGATATGGAGGGGATTGAAGGGATGGAGGGGATGGAAGGAATGGAAGACGGCCCTGACAGCAGCGTCCCAGACACCCCTAAGTCAGTCGACGCCTCCCAAGACAGCCTGTGCAATTCCCCCTCTCACACCGAGATGGTCGTCCAGGAGGGGCAGGAGAAAAACCATCATGCCCACCACAACGCCCACCACAATACCCACCATGATATCGACTATAGAATCCACCACAACAGCCACCATAACAATCAGCATCACAGCCACCATAACAACCACCATAACAATCAGCTTAACAGCCACCATAACCCCCACCAGAGGCTGGTAGAGGAGCTGCAGGCCAGCAGAATAAAGGCCATGGGGAACGGAGGTTCAATGGAAGGGGACTGCCATCACTAACGACTCCTCATCCCTGGGTGGGGACATCGAGAGCCAGAGTGCCGGGAGTCCAGCTGTGTCAGAATCTACCTCTTCCATGCAGGCCTCGTCCCCCACCAATGGGCAGCCTCAACAGCAACGTAAATCCCCCAGCCTGGAGGAAAGACAGGAGAGACAGGAGAGGCACCAGAGGGCTATGTCCCTGGATCACATCAGTGCCAGCCTCATGCAGCATCACCCTTCCAGCATTGGGGCCCTGGACCTGACATCCTGCAACCCGTCTAAAGACCCACTGGGCATGCTCTTCCCATTCCGCGATCGCGGCACCTTCAAGAACACGGCCTGTGACATCTGTGGGAAGACGTTTGCATGTCAGAGTGCCTTGGACATCCACTACCGAAGCCATACCAAAGAGAGACCGTTCATTTGCACAGCCTGTAACCGGGGCTTCTCGACCAAGGGCAACCTGAAGCAGCACATGCTCACTCACCAGATGAGGGACTTGCCCTCGCAGCTCTTCGAACCCTCCAACACCAGCCTCTCCTCCAGTCCGACCCCCTCCCTCCTCTCTGTGAACTCCCTGTCCTCCATGATCAAATCAGAGGTCAACGGCTTCCTCCACGGCCTCCACCACCATCAGGACCACCACAGGGACCACCATAGGGACCATCACAGGGACCACTACAGGGACCACCACAGGGACCACCACAGAGACAACCAGGACCGGGATCACCGTAAGGACATGCCCAGCAACATGCCCCATGGCCTGGTGACCTCCTCGGCCTCTACATCCCCAGTGCCCTCGGCCTCTGCTCCTCCACGCCGGACACCCAAGCAGCACTACTGCAACACTTGTGGGAAGACCTTCTCCTCCTCCAGCGCTCTGCAGATACACGAGAGGACCCACACTGGGGAGAAGCCCTTTGCCTGCCACATCTGTGGTCGGGCTTTCACCACCAAAGGAAATCTCAAGGTAATTGTATGATTATAAACATTATGAATGCAATAGGTAAAATACACACATATTCAAAATCTCAGGGCAATTGTATGTTTAAAAACATTATGAATGGATTTGGAAAATGTCCACATATTTATTCATGAATATCTATAAGAGGAGTATAAAAAGCACCCGAATTTTGGTCCACAACTTTGAGCAACAAATTTAAGTGTGTTATGTCAGTGCCATTCGGAAGTAGTAATGGACTATAATTGATGAAAGAACCAGCTTAGCGGAAAGGTTGTATCACCCCATTAATATGATTATTGGGTAGAAACCTGAGAATGTGATCAGCAGAGCACAGCTGGGAATGGTTCAGTTAACAGCATTAACTACAGTTACCAGAGGCAACCATCCTCAGTTTTCCAGAGTTTATCCAGTGAAAATCCCAGAGTTTCCCTTTGATCATTTGGAAAAGGTCCCTACTCAGAGATAAACAGGAACTGAAGGGCCAAATGTGATCACACCACTGTGAGAAATCAAAGGGGCGAAACGTAGAGAGGCGTAACATTTAGGAAGGACTGTCAAATGTATAACCAGATTGCAATTACCAGTAATCAGCACTAGTTATAGTTCACACCCTTGTTGATATAAAAATACAATACCCTTATTATTTGTAGCAAGAGTTCACATTTTGCTGATGCTATGATTTTGTAGTGTGTTTTTATTAAAATAATGTTTAATTTCTAGCAAGTGATATTTTAAAACACATTGCTAGATGTGTGCTTTCTTGTGTGCTCTGGACAACAGAATCAGTTGTGTATCTGACACCTACATGTTTGAACATTGATTTAAAAAGAATAACATAATTATCTGAAACACTCATCCTTTCAGAATCAAAAGAAGAAGGAAAATACATTGTCCTTGTTGGGAAAGGTCATAGCATGGGTAAATGTCAGATGTAATACTGGCCAGGGCAATGAGAGTGGGCACTGCAATTTGAACAAAAGCACAAGGGTCTCCCTCATGAGACATTTGAATTAAGGTTTCAGATTAAATGCAGTATATCATCCTAGCCATAATAAAATGGTTACTCCATGCCCACGTCCCCACGCCTTTCACAGCTCACTGCACCAATCCTCCTGCTGCACCCAGGGTGCTGAACTATTTTAACGCTAACTTGCTGTTTATTATTAAAACATTTTCCGTTGCATCATCTGTTACTATGTGCCTTTGTTGTGACCAAGTTTTAAATATTGCTTATCTCTCTCTCTCTCTCTGTTTCTCTCTCCAGGTTCATATGGGCACACACATGTGGAACAGCGCCCCTGCCAGACGTGGCCGTCGGCTCTCTGTAGACGGCTCCATGGCCTTCCTGGGCACCAACCCTGTCAAGTTCCCAGAGATCTTCCAGAAGGACATGGTGTCTAGGGCGGGCAACGGAGACCCGGCTAGCTTCTGGAACCAGTACGCTGCAGCATTCTCCAACGGCCTAGCCATGAAGACCAACGAGATCTCTGTCATCCAGAACGGAGGCCTGCCGTCTCTGTCGGGGAGCATGGGGAACGGGGGCAGTTCGCCCGTGGGCGGCCTCACAGGCAGCCTGGAGAAGCTGCACAGTACAGAATCCAATGCCGCTCTGGCTGGCCTGGAGAAAATGGCCAACGCCGAGAACGGGACCCACTTCCGATTCACACGTTTCATGGAGGACAACAAAGAGATTGTCACCAACTAGAGACTTTTTTCCTCTCATATGTTCACAGAGACACACACACACATACACACACACACACACACACAGAGGGAGAGAAAGAGAAGACCAAGAATGACTTGGCTTTGGCTTGCCTTTGAAACTTTACGAACATGAGTGTGAAGAGCACTTGCTTTTTTGTACAATGTACAACATGTTATAGTTTTAAGGAGCTTATTTATTAGTGATTATAACCTTGCTCGGAACCAAGTGGAAGCATTAACAGTTAGTTTTTTTCTGTTCTACGGCCAGAATGGGTATGAGCTAAAAGTGTGCTTTTGAAACTTTAGCATATCTTTACCTTAGCATTAAGTTATTTTTTGTCTGTAGTATATAGCTATAACACAACTGTTGATGTTCATGTGATGCATTAGATCTGTAATAAACGAAACAGAATGGATGTAAATAATGTACACTAATCTACTCTAGATGGTCTAACAGATGTGTATTAACGTTCCCCATGAAAAAAATTATTGAGACTTCAGGCAAGGGACTATGATGGCACTGTAGTCCTTTCCTTATCAACCGCTATTGATCTGTTATTTAAGGAAAAAGAAGGAATTCAAGCATTTCAAGTGTTTATTTAGAGTTACAGTAGGCCTAACCTGTTTTGTTCTTTAATGTTATTCTCTGTATTGTGCTTTTTCTCTTTCTTCCATAGTTCCATTTTTTTCTTCTTGATCTTTTTTTAATTTGTTTTGCTTTTGTGGTGTAAAGTTTAACACAAAACAGTTGTGTTGTTAGAGGAGATGATGAATTCGGAGAGGGCCACTTCCTGGTTTGAACTGAGAAGAGAGCCAATCATGTGGGTGGGATTCTCCTATAGGTCATCTGCTGGATTTCCACATTGCTGCTATGTCCTCAGCATCCTCATTGCCATCAAGTGCAACATATGTGTTGAAGTGTATGTAAATAATGTCAGATGTGGGATCTACAAATTCCATCACAACAAAATGTACATATAAAGCTCACAAGACAAAGTCCATCTTGGCCAGGGGACAAATGATAGTGTTTTTATAAATATAAATATATATTAGGTTTGACAACCTTCGGACTGTTACATGCACTTTCTTGGAAAGTTGGAAGATCTTTATGGGTCCAGTTTCTCTACACTTTAATACCTACTAACAACTAAGATAATGTCATTCTTTACTCTAATAATCAAATACATCCGTTTTCCAAAAGAAAATTATGAGTGTTTGTGTCTCTTCATTCTCTTTTATTTCTTTCAGTTTTGTATGCTTTATGATTTGCCGATAATGGGGGTTTGGAATAATTGGAGGGTTTTCACTTTTGAAATGTGGTCTTTTCATCTTATTTGAGGGATCAGATAATATTTTTTGTGGATTGAATCTTTTAAATTTGAGTTTAAATAGGCCTACATGCACTTATGAAATAATACTGTATCATGGATCTATAACACTGGTCAATGGTAAATTAATTGATCTCCCCTCTCATTTTCGACTGGCACTTGTTGTGAAGCAGCCTATTCTTTGTAAAGTAATTTAAAAGTGATTTTCATGATTGTGTCAAACAATCTGAGTTCGGATGTAGACGTAATCAATGAGGACACCTGGGTTGTGTTGATCGGTCATTCAAAATTATGTGATAGCAGAAGTCACATTTCTTAGTTCATCATTCCTGCTGTTGTCAGTCCTTTGAATCTTTAATTAAAGAATCGACCGGTCCAGAAACCCTCTGTCTTTCAAAGGCTTGATGTGATGGATTTAGAAGACTCGTCGTCACTCTAAAGGGTAACTCTCTCTGTCACTCATCGTACATTTTAATCCATGTTTCACCGGAGTGAAATTAGGAAGGAAGTGAATGGGAAGAAATGGGGTGTCCGGGCTTTATGCCTATGCAGATTGCAGACCACGTTTAGTTCAAATTTCAAAATAATGCATAATTATATCTTGATGATGGCCAGAATAGGCCTTATAAATTACATCAAAGTGAACAACAACAAATTAGCCAATTTAGGCATACAATGTGTCATGGCGCATAGTATTTGAATAATCTCTTTCATTTGGTGATAGAAAATATTAAACTTTTGTTTTGAGCTAGTGTCCTAAGAGAAGCTGCATTGTTACTTTCTGTGTAACGCCTCACAAAACTAGAGAAAGGGACATATCGCCACAACGACCACGAGGACAGCTGATGGAACGGTTGATTACATTGGAGGCATATTTTCCCCTTTTGCATTTCAACAGCTGCATTTAATTTAACACATCATTGCACATCCTGCAATACAGGACCTGTTCATTTGAGCTCCGCATCCTCTCTCCCTCGCCGCTCTCTCTCCCCCTCTTCGGGATTTTATAGCTGGCTAAATTCCCCAATATTTACAAGATCTCGATGCTAAATGATCCTTGCAGCGGGCCTGGTGCGGGACCGACGATGGGATCCCCGCCCCCCATGCCTGTTTTCCCTTTTGACGGTCACATCTGGTCCGCTGATAGAGCTTTGTTTGTACAGTGCATCAGCTTCCGGATTATTTTATTACAGTCGGAATACCTGACTCCGTCCTCTGTTTATTGACTCAAAGGAATACAAATGTGCTCTGATCTCGGTACTCCGTGATTTGGTCAGTGATTTGTCTTAGAAAAGAAAACAAGGAAATGAAGTGTATGATAATATCGGATTTTTTTGTCTTGTAAATGTGACATTTATTGATATAGCAGTTTATGATTATAGTTTGACTAATGATACCTGATCTGCCCATTTAATCAGTCGTATATTTAGCTCCATACACTTTGATGTAGAATGGAAGTTATTTAATATTTCGTTTGTAACCTTAAGTGGGCCTGTAAAACTACGCAGGAAAAAAGTTTTTCTTTAGATTTATTAACACGAATTTCATAATATATGTTATACTATAGTGGGTTCAATATCCATCCAGAAGCACCATATTTAAAAAATAATAATATTGATTATAATAAACTATAATGAACTAATAATAATAATAATAATAATAATAGTAATAATAATAATAATGGTAAAATTGCAATGACAAAGAGAACAATTTGTTTGTTTCATTTGCTTATTTCAACCATGTTAAAATAAATCTAAAATAGTTCATAATTCTTCATTCAAAACAATAGATACAATTTTCAAATGCATGTAATAGTGGCTGGATATTATGGTTATAATTTTAAGAGCAGGAATTACTTAAATTCAATCAAACTTTGAACTGGTGGAACTTTAGTTATATGCCTATATAAAATGTGTGGCTATAGTTCACTATATCACTGTTGTGCATGTAGTGGTAATGAAGTGTTTGAAGTGATACAGTGTGCTTGTTTTCACTCAGCCTCAAGGTGGATAAACTACTCTGATTGCAGTAGGGTATAGTCTATGTCCTTGATGACGGTTCAAAGCTCTGAAATGCTGCAATGCACCAAGGGAAATGTGTTGAAAAAAATGGTATTTTTAATTTCAGGAATATCTCCTATTAATGTATACATCCTTTTAATTCAGCTATTTAAAGAAAGATCAAATCTTCAGAGGCTTGAGAGCCCAGATACTAGGGTACAAAACATAAATGATTGCTAATGACATAATCATAAAAAAAGAACCCAGCCTTAACTCGAGAGCCTGGCCAGGGATTTAGGAGAAGGAAAAATGGTGGGATAAGCATATGGAGCAGCTCCCCTTGTGTAATCAAAGGAGAGAGAAAGGATGCAATAAGGAGAAATCATGAAATAGACACATGCTTTTAGTTGTGTAACAAACCCTCAGTGAGTGGTCCTAGTGATGTGTGGTGGAGGAGGGTCTTTTTCCCCAGGCGTACAGCAGGCAGCAGCCCCACGTAGCTTTTGGTTAAATATTGATTGAGCCGTGCAGCATTACAGAAACACTTGAATCTCAGGTGGCAGGAATGTGTAGAATTGATCTCTTCCACTGTGCCTCCCAGTAGTGGCTTTCTGCTTCACAACACAGCACCACAGGAAGACTGGGGTGAAACATGGTGAAACACAATCGCTACAGGCTGAGTGGGGCTGCCCCTACTCTGCCCATGTGGCTCTCTGACAGACAGGCTTTTTGAGTGTGTCTCCATGCCACTGTCCGGTGTGATAGAATAAGATGAATATACACTTTTTAATTCACACACATGCACACACACACACACACACACACTTCTGTGTACATTACCTACAAACGTCCTTATGGAAGATGTAGTTCTGTCTCGTTTCCACCATTACTGGTATTGATGTTTGTTTTGAAGCCTTTATAACGTTATGTTTTAGTGTTGTTCTTTAACGGACCTAACTGGTTTAAGGAGGAAATGTCTGAAGGGGAGGATGGGACATATTAGCAAAGTAACTTTATTGTCACTTTAGTTTTAGTGTCTCTACAGTAAAGTCTGTGCTCTATAATTAGCACATTTATAACTTGCAATTTGCTATCTTTTTTTGTTTTTGCAATTTTAGTTATGAAAGAATAAACAGCAAGGGAGCTAACACCGCTTTAATTCTATAATCCATCAGACATATTTTATGGACTTGAACTCATGCAGTGTACCTTCCATACAGTCCCTAGCCCAACCTCCCAGTGAAGTATGGATTATGCTTCACAGACCTGTGTACTCCAAAGCCCCCCTCCTTCACTGTCCCGTCCTGGGCTGTCAGGCCTGCCGAGTCGATACAAACTGTAGCCTGGGGCCTGGTATGGTGTGGAGCAGGGACTCCCCACTGAGTCTCTGGCCTGGCTCTGGGTGATCAAAGACCTGCTGAGAACAATGGTGAGCCACGCTGAGCCACGCTCCACGGCCCCAAGACACACGGCCACCGAGCCACACCTGCACCGCAGCCTACACCTGCCAATCAATACCAGCCAGGTGACAGGCCTGCCGCTAAGGGCCTCTAAAAGGAGCTTCCTAGAGTGACTCTCAAGTTAGTGTCAAGTTTCAAGTCTTTTTTATCATATGTAATATACACTTTGAAAATTCATTGGAAATCATACTCATCATTGAGTGAACAGAATAGTGAATAAAATATAACATTTGTTATATTCTCTATGACTATCAGCTCATTTGAGTATGCTTTTAAATCACTTCTATTCTTCTCTACTTTCCCTTTCTACTCCAGTGTCTCCCCCTCTCTTCTCCTCTGATGATTCTCATGGCTTTGGTTTCCTGTGGAAAAAACAGAGACAGTCTACAGCGTGTACACAGCTGGTTGGGAGACAAGACTTCCAGATTGTGAGTACAAACATTAAGCAGGATTTCTTTGCCCTGTGTTACACTCACATTTATCACAGAAGAGCGATAAAAGTCTTCCAAGGAAATATCCACTATACACCCAGTTCTAAGACTTTTCACTTACCCTTCATGTTTGTTCTACTTTTAAGTAATCCTCTTTGGTCTCATGTAGTTCTAAAATATATAGTATTTGCATGGTTTATTTTAATGGTACAGCGATTCTGGGGACTATCCAAACGTGAAGGTCATTTAGCTTTCAGTTCATCCGCTCTCTTTCCTTTTGTGTGGTGAGAAAGAGAGATTGCATTTCATGACCTATTGTGTCCAGGGAGTCCCCAGACAAACAGGTGGGAGCTCTAATGTGGGGTCCTCTTGGGGAGGGAAGGAAGACTGGGTTAGGGACTGGAAGGCTCTTTGGGTATTCTTTAATAAGTCACTCATGCATAGCACAGCCACCACAATGTTCTGTTTCCCCATCGTCCATCCAACAGGATCCTTCAGGGATGCTAATGGCTGTAATGTACAGTAAGGGCTTGTCTTACCCACAAGGCCCTGTTGTCTCTCTCCCCCCTGTTTATCATCACCAGTGAAATTGCAGGGCCGTTTTAGGAGGGGTTTATTGCAAGGAGAGACATTTATCTTCTTTGTGATGCTAATTCTTAAAAATGTGGTGTCTGGGTTTGTGTCTTTCAAGCCAGGTAGGTTTATAAGACTGGGCTTTTGAGGAGAAACAACCTGCTTTTATTTATAAGGGGAAAACGATACTCAGACTTGCTTTATGATCTCTCCTATCTGCGTTTTTAATTTCATGTATGTTTGCTTCCATTTTAAGATAAGTCACATGTACGTTTGCATTATACAGTGGAACGGAGACAGATCGTCTTTCTTTTCTTTAAGAGACTAGCTCTTTGAGATTAAGTAGGCTGATTGTGTCCCTTTCACCGTCAGAATTACGGTTGGTAACCCTATCCACCACTGTCTGCTAGAGGGCTTAGACACACACAGGCTCGTTGACACTCTGTTAATGTCAGATTAGATTTCCTCATCACCATCTAACCTTAAGTCCCACAACCCTCGACATACATTCTTACTTTCCTGTTTTTCACAGTGCCAAAGCATGACAGCAATGCAGTGGTTCGATGTACCAACGTTATGGTTTCAAAACAGAGATAACGATTTGGAAATTATAAAATATTATGGTTGATAGAACGTCATGAAACGATGGCTTCGATGTTCGCGGGACAGACTTCAGTCACTTGTCAGGTGTGTTTGATTCCATTGACACTTGACCAAGATACTTGAGTTTATTGAATGTGTCATTTTCGGCCTGCAAGTAAAAAGGGTACCTGTGCAGTGGTAAGCCCCTACAAGCACATCACACAGTGACAGCTGATGCGCTAGTACAACCCTGAAGCTATTGAAGTTTGGTCAAAACAGACCATGCTTGTTCTAGTGTTTTGTGTTGTCCTCCTGTATGTACACTGAACAAAAATATAAAGGCAACATGTAAAGTATTGGTCCCATATTTCATGAGCTGAAATAAAAGATCCCAGAATTTTTCCATATGCACAAAAAGCTTATTTCTCTCACATTTTGTGCACAAATATGTTTACATCCCTGTTAGTGAGCATTTATCCTTTGCCAAGATAATCCATCCACCTGACAGGTGTGGCATATCAAGAAGCTGATTAAACAGCATGATCATTACACAGGTGCACCTTGTCACACAACACAATGCCACAGATGTCTCAAGTTTTGAGGGAGTGTGCAATTGGCATGCTGACTGCAGGAATGTCCACCAGAGCTGTTGTCAGAGAATTGAATGTTAATTTCTCTACTATAATCGGCCTCCAATGTCGTTTTAGGGAATTTGGAAGTACTTCCAACCAGCCTCAAAACCGCAGACCACGTGTATGGTGTCCTGAGGCCCATTGTCGTGCCATTCATTCGCCATCTCCTCATGTTTCAGCAGGAAAATGCACGGGCCCATGTCACAAGGATCTGTACACAATTCCTGGAAGCTGAAAATGTCCCAGTTCTTCCATGGCCTGCATACTCACCAGACATGTCAATCATTGAGCATGTTTGGGATGCTCTGGATTGATGTGTACGACAGCGTGTTCCAGTTCCCACAAATATCCAGTGACTTCGCACAGTCATTGAAGAGGAGTGGGACAACATTCCTCAGTCCACAATCAACAGCCTGATCAACTCTATGCAAAGGAGATGTGTCGCGCTGCATGATGCAAATGGTGGTCACAACAGATACTGACTGGTTTTCTGATCCATGCCCTACCTTTATTTAATAAGGTATCTGTAACCAACAGATGCATATCTGTATTCCCAGTCATGTGAAATCTATAGATTAGGACCTAATGAATGTACTTCAATTGACTGATTTCCTTATATGAACTGTAACTCAGTAAAAGAGTAAACATTTTTGCATGTTGCGTTTATATTTTTGTTCAGTATACAGTGAGGGAAAAAAGTATTTGATCCCCTGCTGATTTTGTACGTTTGCCCACTGACAAAGAAATGATCAGTAATTTTATAATTTTAAATGGTAGGTTTATTTGAACAGTGAGAGACAGAATAACAACAACAAAAATCCAGAAAAAACGCATGTCAGAAATGTTATAAATTGATTTGCATTTTAATGAGGGAAATAAGTATTTGACCCCCTCTCAATCAGAAAGATTTCTGGCTCCCCGAGTGGTCCTCTGTAGCTCAATTGGTAGAGCACGGCGCTTGTAACGCCAGGGTAGTGGGTTCGATCCCTGGGACCACCCATACGTAAAAATTTATGCACACATGACTGTAAGTCGCTTTGGATAAAAGCGTCTGCTAAATGGCATATTATTATTATTATTATTATTATACAGGTAACGAGCTGAGATTAGGAGCACACTCTTAAGGGAGTGCTCCTAATCTCAGCCTGTTACCTGTATAAAAGACACCTGTCCACAGAAGCAATCAATCAATCAGATTCCAAACTCTCCACCATGGCCAAGACCAAAGAGCTCTCCAAGGATGTCAGGGACAAGATTGTAGATCTACACAAGGCTGGAATGGGCAACAAGACCATCGCCAAGCAGCTTGGTGAGAAGGTGACAACAGTTGGTGCGATTATTCGCAAATGGAAGAAACACAAAATAACTGTCAAAATCCCTCGGCCTGGGGCTCCATGCAAGATCTCACCTCGTGGAGTTGCAATGGTCATGAAGAACGGTGAGGAATCAGCCCAGAACTACATGGGAGGATCTTGTCAATGATCTCAAGGCAGCTGCGACCATAGTCACCAAGAAAACAATTGGTAACACACTACGCCGTGAAGGACTGAAATCATGCAGCGCCTGCAAGGTCCCCCTGCTCAAGAAAGCACATATACAGGCCGTCTGAAGTTTGCCAATTAACATCTGAATGATTCAGAGGAGAACTGGGTGAATGTGTTGTGGTCAGATGAGACCAAAATCGAGCTCTTTTGCATCAACTCAACTCGTCGTGTTTGGAGGAGGAGGAATGCTGCCAATGACCCCAAGAACACCATCAAACATGGAGGTGGAAACATTATGCTTTGGGGGGTGTTTTTCTGCTAAGGGGACAGGACAACTTCACCGCATCAAAGGGACGATGGACGGGGCCATGTACCGTCAAATCTTGGGTGAGAACCTCCTTCCCTCAGCCAGGAAAATGGGTCGTGGATGGGTATTCCAGCATGACAATGACCCAAAACACACGGCCAAGGCAACAAAGGAGTGGCTTAAGAAGAAGCACATTAAGGTCCTGGAGTGGCCTAGCCAGTCTCCAGACCTTAATCCCATAGAAAATCTGTGGAGGGAGCTGAAGGTTCGAGTTGCCAAACGTCAGCCTCGAAACCTTAATGACTTGGAGAAGATCTGCAAAGAGGAGTGGGACAAAATCCCTCCTGAGATGTGTGCAAACCTGGTGGCCAACTACAAGAAACGTCTGACCTCTGTGATTGCCAACAAGGGTTTTGCCACCAAGTACTCAGTCATGTTTTGCAGAGGGGTCAAATACTTATTTCCCTCATTAAAATGCAAATCAATTTATAACATTTTTGACATGCATTGTTCTGGATTTTTTTGTTGTCCATTAAAATTATAGACTGATCATGTCTTTGTCAGTGGGCAAACGTACAAAATCAACAGGGGATCAAATACTTTTTTCCCTCACTGTACATACATCAGCAGTGAAACAGCTGAAATATTATTTATATCGTAATTTTGTCATATGGAGATGTCCTCAAGCTCTTTGAATGTTTAGGTCATAGCAAAAAAGTTGAAGGAGTGATCTTGATGACAGGTTTTAGTATTAGAACTCAGAAATGGTTGACTTTAAGACTGTCATAATGGTGGAGAGGAATATTCATTGGCATATTATGCCTGTGTAATAGTCCCTCCTGCCAAGCCCTGGATGGTTGGGAAATCATTTTGGTTTGATAGAGGTCCAGGTCTGCTTCTCTGCTGTCTCTGTTCAATAGGCTTTACCCTTAAATACTGGGAACCCAGTGGACCTAGATGTTGATGCTAAAACTCTGCCAGTGTCTTTAGAACACCTGCAGCCATACAGGACATATCCAGTAGCTCAGAGCCTTAGTGCTCGATTCAATCCGCAGCGCTGAAGATTTGCGCTACAGCACGATAGACATTGAAAGAAAATGTTTCCTGCATTCATGGTAAACACTGCATATGTCGGCTCAATCGGAAATTACCTTTCAATTTCAATTGCGCTATACAGCGGATCTTCATCACTATGGATTGAATAGAGCCCTTAGTTTGAGTTGGTTGCTCTTGGGTTAGACCAGTTGTTGCCAAAGGGTGGGCGGCTGGTAGCCTAGCGGTTAAGAGTGTTGGCCAGTAACTGAAAGGTTGCTGGTTTGAATCCCTGAGCTTACTAGGTGGAAAATCTGTCGATGTGTCCTTGAACAAGGCACTTAACCCTAGTTGCTCCGGATAAGAGCATCTGCTAAGTGACTGAAATGTACTTCCTTAGTGAAAAGTGTATTGGAAAATATGTATTTGGTCTGTACCTCATGGCCATAACACCTGTGATGAATTGGAAATATCCCACATCCTGTTGGTTAATGTTTAATCAATCAGAGAAGGGACTAAAATGTTCCTGTTTATTTTTAACCACTGCTTGTACCTGATCAAAGGCAGAAGGTTTTAAACATATACACATTCATTACTTTAATTGTTTTTAAGACCAGGTTTAGGAAAATGTTACATCCTATGTAATTATTTGTGGTGCTTGTTTCGTCAAGTATGAGATGTTAGAGAGATGTTTGTATTTTAATAGTGTAAAGAGATGTTTGTGTTGTAATAGTGTAGAGAGATGTTTGTATTGTAATATTGTAGAGAGATGTTTGTATTGTAATAGTGTAGAGAGATGTTTTTATTGTAATAGTGTAGAGAGATGTTTGTATTGTAATAGTGTAGAGAGATGTTTGTATTGTAATAGTGTAGAGAGATGTTTGTATTGTAATAGTGTAGAGAGATGTTTGTATTGCAATAGTGTAGAGAGATGTATGTATTGTAATAGTGTAGAGAGATGATTGTATTGTAATAGTGTAGAGAGATGTTTGTATTGTAATAGTGTAGAGAGATGTTTGTATTGTAATAGTGTAGAGAGATGTTTTGTATTGTAATAGTATATTTCGGCTGGGTCTTGATGATACACCAGCATACACTATGGCATGATGAGACTACACGTCATGCAGTATGGAATGATCAAACAGTTGGTCAGCAATAAGGACTCTCTGAAGCCTTGGCCTGTTATCTAAATAATGGACCCATATAAAAACACCAGATTAAATTGACTGACCCTCATATACTTAATTATTGTAGCTACTTGACCAAATAACATTTTTCAGGATGCTGTGTGTCACAGGCCATCAATATTCCTTTAATCACTGTTAGTTATTGCTCTACTTTGTTACTGCTGAGGTCGGTCGGATGGCCGGTCTCCAGTGGTCAGTTTAGCCCCAGGGCAGGGCGGCAGGCTGGGGGAATGAGATGCTAAATGGTTCCGCAAACAATTTGATTATGCCGTTTAATTCCTGTCATATAGATCTCCCTGGATGGCCTGCTTGCTGATGCACTCATTTCTCTACTGCGTCTCTCTCTCTCTCTCTCTCTCTCTCTCTCTCTATATCTCTCTCTCTACTCTCTCTCTCCTGCTCTCTTCTCTCTCTCTCTCTCTCTCTCTCATCTCTCTCTCTCTCTCTCTCTCCTCTCTTCCTCATCACCTCCACTCCTCTTTCTCTCTCATCTCGCCGCTTTCTTCTCTCTCTCTTTCTGTGTACAGCAGTATAATAGGCTAGTCTGACCGCTGACCGCACACGCATACACAGCCACTGGAATATCTGTTGTTCTTTAGCTAGACCAGATTGTGATACTTCTCAGAGTTATGAATCCACGTCTGTGTTCCACTGTCTCAACTGCCACCCAAACTCTGCTAAATCACCTGCTTATGCATGCCGATGCTCACTGCCCAGCCCAGAGTGTAGGAGAGCCCCTGGAGCCCTGCACACCACTGTTCAAACTGGCCGGGCTCTAGCCGGTCCGATTTTCTGCAGTGCTTAATGTGCCCTAAGTCCTGGTACAAATCCAGGCTCTGTCGCTGCCGGCCGCGACCGGGAGACTCATGGGCGGCGCACAATTGACCCAGCGTCGTCCAGGGTAGGGGAGGGAATGGCTGGCAGGGATGTAGCTCAGTTGATAGAGCATGGCGTTTGCAACGCCAGGGTTGTGGGTTCGATTCCCACAAGGGGCCAGTATAAAAAAATAAAAAATGTATTCACTAACTGTAAGTTGCTCTGGATAAGAGCGTCTGCTAAATGACTAAAATGTAAATGTATAACGATTTGGAAATTTTAAATATTATGGTTGATAGAACGTCATGAAACGATGGCTTCGATGTTCGCGGGACAGACTTCAGTCACTTGTCAGGTGTGTTTGATTCCATTGACACTTGACCAAGATACTTGAGTTTATTGAATGTGTCATTTTCGGCCTGCAAGTAAAAAGGGTACCTGTGCAGTGGTAAGCCCCTACAAGCACATCACACAGTGACAGCTGATGCGCTAGTACAACCCTGAAGCTATTGAAGTTTGGTCAAAACAGACCATGCTTGTTCTAGTGTTTTGTGTTGTCCTCCTGTATGTACACTGAACAAAAATATAAAGGCAACATGTAAAGTATTAGTCCCATGTTTCATGAGCTGAAATAAAAGATCCCAGAATTTTTCCATATGCACAAAAAGCTTATTTCTCTCACATTTTGTGCACAAATATGTTTACATCCCTGTTAGTGAGCATTTATCCTTTGCCAAGATAATCCATCCACCTGACAGGTGTGGCATATCAAGAAGCTGATTAAACAGCATGATAATTACACAGGTGCACCTTGTGCTGGGGACAATAAAAGGCCACTCTAAAATATGCAGTTTTGCCACACAACACAATGCCACAGATGTCTCAAATTTTGAGGGACCATGCAATTGGCATGCTGACTGCAGGAATGTCCACCAGAGCTGTTGTCAGAGAATTGAATGTTAATTTCTATACTATAATCGGCCTCCAATGTCGTTTTAGGGAATTTGGAAGTACTTCCAACCAGCCTCAAAACCGCAGACCACGTGTATGGTGTCCTGAGGCCCATTGTCGTGCCATTCATTCGCCATCTCCTCATGTTTCAGCATGATAATGCACGGGCCCATGTCACAAGGATCTGTACACAATTCCTGGAAGCTGAAAATGTCCCAGTTCTTCCATGGCCTGCATACTCACCAGACATGTCAATCATTGAGCATGTTTGGGATGCTCTGGATTGATGTGTACGACAGCGTGTTCCAGTTCCCACAAATATCCAGTGACTTCGCACAGTCATTGAAGAGGAGTGGGACAACATTCCTCAGTCCACAATCAACAGCCTGATCAACTCTATGCAAAGGAGATGTGTCGCGCTGCATGATGCAAATGGTGGTCACACCAGATACTGACTGGTTTTCTGATCCATGCCCTACCTTTATTTAATAAGGTATCTGTAACCAACAGATGCATATCTGTATTCCCAGTCATGTGAAATCTATAGATTAGGACCTAATGAATGTACTTCAATTGACTGATTTCCTTATATGAACTGTAACTCAGTAAAATAGTAAACATTTTTGCATGTTGCGTTTATATTTTTGTTCAGTATACAGTGAGGGAAAAAAGTATTTGATCCCCTGCTGATTTTGTATGTTTGCCCACTGACAAAGAAATGATCAGTCTATAATTTTAATGGTAGGTTTATTTGAACAGTGAGAGACAGAATAACAACAACAAAAATCCAGAAAAACGCATGTCAGAAATGTTATAAATTGATTTGCATTTTAATGAGGGAAATAAGTATTTGACCCCCTCTCAATCAGAAAGATTTCTGGCTCCCCGAGTGGTCCTCTGTAGCTCAATTGGTAGAGCACGGCGCTTGTAACGCCAGGGTAGTGGGTTCGATCCCTGGGACCACCCATACGTAAAAATTTATGCACACATGACTGTAAGTCGCTTTGGATAAAAGCGTCTGCTAAATGGCATATTATTATTATTATTATTATTATACAGGTAACGAGCTGAGATTAGGAGCACACTCTTAAAGGGAGTGCTCCTAATCTCAGCCTGTTACCTGTATAAAAGACACCTGTCCACAGAAGCAATCAATCAATCAGATTCCAAACTCTCCACCATGGCCAAGACCAAAGAGCTCTCCAAGGATGTCAGGGACAAGATTGTAGATCTACACAAGGCTGGAATGGGCAACAAGACCATCGCCAAGCAGCTTGGTGAGAAGGTGACAACAGTTGGTGCGATTATTCGCAAATGGAAGAAACACAAAATAACTGTCAATCTCCCTCGGCCTGGGGCTCCATGCAAGATCTCACCTTGTGGAGTTGCAATGGTCATGAAGAACGGTGAGGAATTAGCCCAGAACTACATGGGAGGATCTTGTCAATGATCTCAAGGCAGCTGGGACCATAGTCACCAAGAAAACAATTGGTAACACACTACGCCGTGAAGGACTGAAATCATGCAGCGCCCGCAAGGTCCCCCTGCTCAAGAAAGCACATATACAGGCCGTCTGAAGTTTGCCAATTAACATCTGAATGATTCAGAGGAGAACTGGGTGAATGTGTTGTGGTCAGATGAGACCAAAATCGAGCTCTTTTGCATCAACTCAACTCGTCGTGTTTGGAGGAGGAGGAATGCTGCCAATGACCCCAAGAACACCATCCCCACTGTCAAACATGGAGGTGGAAACATTATGCTTTGGGGGGGTGTTTTTCTGCTAAGGGGACAGGACAACTTCACCGCATCAAAGGGACGATGGACGGGGCCATGTACCGTCAAATCTTGGGTGAGAACCTCCTTCCCTCAGCCAGGAAAATGGGTCGTGGATGGGTATTCCAGCATGACAATGACCCAAAACACACGGCCAAGGCAACAAAGGAGTGGCTTAAGAAGAAGCACATTAAGGTCCTGGAGTGGCCTAGCCAGTCTCCAGACCTTAATCCCATAGAAAATCTGTGGAGGGAGCTGAAGGTTCGAGTTGCCAAACGTCAGCCTCGAAACCTTAATGACTTGGAGAAGATCTGCAAAGAGGAGTGGGACAAAATCCCTCCTGAGATGTGTGCAAACCTGGTGGCCAACTACAAGAAACGTCTGACCTCTGTGATTGCCAACAAGGGTTTTGCCACCAAGTACTCAGTCATGTTTTGCAGAGGGGTCAAATACTTATTTCCCTCATTAAAATGCAAATCAATTTATAACATTTTTGACATGCATTGTTCTGGATTTTTTTGTTGTCCATTAAAATTATAGACTGATCATGTCTTTGTCAGTGGGCAAACGTACAAAATCAACAGGGGATCAAATACTTTTTTCCCTCACTGTACATACATCAGCAGTGAAACAGCTGAAATATTATTTATATCGTAATTTTGTCATATGGAGATGTCCTCAAGCTCTTTGAATGTTTAGGTCATAGCAAAAAAGTTGAAGGAGTGATCTTGATGACAGGTTTTAGTATTAGAACTCAGAAATGGTTGACTTTAAGACTGTCATAATGGTGGAGAGGAATATTCATTGGCATATTATGCCTGTGTAATAGTCCCTCCTGCCAAGCCCTGGATGGTTGGGAAATCATTTTGGTTTGATAGAGGTCCAGGTCTGCTTCTCTGCTGTCTCTGTTCAATAGGCTTTACCCTTAAATACTGGGAACCCAGTGGACCTAGATGTTGATGCTAAAACTCTGCCAGTGTCTTTAGAACACCTGCAGCCATACAGGACATATCCAGTAGCTCAGAGCCTTAGTGCTCGATTCAATCCGCAGCGTTGAAGATTTGCGCTACAGCGCGATAGACATTGAAAGAAAATGTTTCCTGCATTCATGGTAAACACTGCATATGTCGGCTCAATCGGAAATTACCTTTCAATTTCAATTGCGCTATACAGCGGATCTTCATCACTATGGATTGAATAGAGCCCTTAGTTTGAGTTGGTTGCTCTTGGGTTAGACCAGTTGTTGCCAAAGGGTGGGCGGCAGGTAGCCTAGCGGTTAAGAGTGTTGGCCAGTAACTGAAAGGTTGCTGGTTTGAATCCCTGAGCTTACTAGGTGGAAAATCTGTCGATGTGTCCTTGAACAAGGCACTTAACCCTAGTTGCTCCGGATAAGAGCATCTGCTAAGTGACTGAAATGTACTTCCTTAGTGAAAAGTGTATTGGAAAATATGTATTTGGTCTGTACCTCATGGCCATAACACCTGTGATGAATTGGAAATATCCCACATCCTGTTGGTTAATGTTTAATCAATCAGAGAAGGGACTAAAATTGTCCTGTTTATTTTTAACCACTGCCTGTACCTGCTCAAAGGCAGAAGGTTTTAAACATATACACATTCATTACTTTAATTGTTTTTAAGACCAGGTTTCAGGAAAATTGTACATCCTATGTAATTATTTGTGGTGCTTGTTTCGTCAAGTATGAGATGTTAGAGAGATGTTTGTATTTTAATAGTGTAAAGAGATGTTTGTGTTGTAATAGTGTAGAGAGATGTTTGTATTGTAATAGTGTAGAGAGATGTTTGTATTTTAATAGTGTAAAGAGATGTTTGTGTTGTAATAGTGTAGAGAGATGTTTGTATTGTAATAGTGTAGAGAGATGTTTGTATTGTAATAGCGTAGAGAGATGTTTGTATTGTAATAGTGTAGAGAGATGTTTGTATTGTAACAGTGTAGAGAGATGTTTGTATTGTAATAGTGTAGAGAGATGTTTGTGTTGTAATAGTGTAGAGAGATGTTTTTATTGTAATAGTGTAAAGAGATGTTTGTATTGTAATAGTGTAGAGAGATGTTTGTACTGTAATAGTGTAGAGAGATGTTTGTATTGTAATAGTGTAGAGAGATGTTTGTATTGTAATAGTGTAGAGAGATGTTTGTATTGTAATAGTGTAGAGAGATGTTTGTATTGTAATAGTGTAGAGAGATGTTTGTATTGTAATAGTGTAGAGAGATGTTTGTATTGTAATAGTATATTTCGGCTGGGTCTTGATGATACACCAGCATACACTATGGCATGATGAGACTACACCTCATGCAGTATGGAATGATCAAACAGTTGGTCAGCAATAAGGACTCTCTGAAGCCTGTTATCTAAATAATGGACCCATATAAAAACACCAGATTAAATTGACTGACCCTCATATACTTAATTATTGTAGCTACTTGACCAAATAACATTTTTCAGGATGCTGTGTGTCACAGGCCATCAATATTCCTTTAATCACTGTTAGTTATTGCTCTACTTTGTTACTGCTGAGGTCGGTCGGATGGCCGGTCTCCAGTGGTCAGTTTAGCCCCAGGGCAGGGCGGCAGGCTGGGGGAATGAGATGCTAAATGGTTCCGCAAACAATTTGATTATGCCGTTTAATTCCTGTCATATAGATCTCCCTGGATGGCCTGCTTGCTGATGCACTCATTTCTCTACTGCGTCTCTCTCTCTCTCTCTCTCTCTCTCTCTCTCTCTCTCTCTCTCTCTCTCTCTCTCTCTCTCTCTCTCTCTCTCTCTCTCTCTCTCTCTCTCTCTCTCTCTCTCTCATCACTCCTCTTTCCTCTCTCTCTCTTTCTGTGTACAGCAGTATAGTGCTGAGTCTGACCCGCTGACCGCACCACGCCATACACCAGCCACTGGAATATCCTGTTTCTCTTTAGACCTGTAGACTCCAGATCAATAGTGACTCCTTCCTCAGAGTTTATGAACCACAACCCACGTCTGTGTTCCCACTGTCTCAACTGCCCAGCCCCAAATCTCTGCTACACCCACTGTTCACTGCCTTCACTGCCCAGCCCCGGAGCTTCACTGCCCAGCTCCAGAGTGTAGGAGTAGCCCCTGGAGCCCTGCTACACCCACTGTTCACTGCCTAGCCCTGGAGCTCTAGCCTGGTCCCAGATCTGTTTGTGCTGCATAGCCAAACTCCTATGATCATTGTCATGCCAAGCAGGATCAAGGATCCCACAGGTTCCCACTGGGTCTAGTTTTTAGACAAATGCTGGTGAGACGTCTGACTGGTTGCAGTGTAGACACACTGGTATAGGCTAGGCCTCAGTCCCTTCCTGTGTTGAGCTTAGGTGTAGCATGGAGAGTTGGGAGTTAACCATTAACATGAAGACATACTGTCCTTTAGTTTACAGACAGACTGACAAATGAGGAATGAACACAGAGCTCTCTGGCAGTCACAGTTGCCTAGTTCCCAAAATTAACATTTAAATTCAAAACCAATAATAACGCATTGTGTGTTAGCTGAATTAACTCTAACAGCAAGGGGAAGGCGATACCTCCTGTTCGTTCTCTGTCAATGAAACAGCTCCTTCATCCCAACTCCCTCAGTACATCTAAAAAGGCCACTCAGCTAACAATACCCAGGAATCACCCTCACTAATATTAAGCTCTGTATGGAGAGGATGTTTCTCCCGCCTCCTGGGTTCTGCCAAAGAGTGTCCTTTCTTTAAAAAAAGGGAAATATTGTTGTTTTCTGTGTAACATTACATTTGTTGTCTTTGTCTATTTGGGGATGTGTTTGATTTAGTTTGCTGCAGTACCAGTGGACCACATCAGCACTGCTTGGTTGTTGTTGGTTACAGGGCAGCTCCAGTGATTGAGCGAAACTACATGATGTTTCCATTGTTTACTTTTCTGTGGGTAGTTTTATGTGAATAGTTTTGTGTCATTCCCACCATTTTATTGACTTTTTAAGACAGGTGGCACTTCACTGATCAATAATTTGCTATTTGAAATGTTTGGTAGCAGCAACCACCCAATTGTCCTGTTTCACTAGTGTATATGAGTCTGTGTGTTTCACTTCATAGACAGACCCTGATATGCTCAGTGACAGGCGATCCCAGGCACTCACAAGGGTTACAAATGAACACTGTGCAGTTTTTTGGTGCAACTTGGCTGTTGAAAATAGGATTTGGAGCCAAACTGTGAGACCCTGCCAAGAACATGTCACAGTAGGCCTTTGCTTCATGGCTCTCCTCTACTCCCTTTTACCAGAGAGAAGATTACCTATCTGGGAGGTGAGGGGAAGGGACATGGGGCAATTTCAAGAGAGAGTAGTGGCTATTTCTATTGAGGCAGGGAGGTCTGAGAGGCTGTCTACTGGCTGTCTGCTCAGAGTGATCCTAGAAGTAAGGTGTGTGTATCCTGAGTGAGCGACTCCTCAGATGGCCTTCAGTATACTGTGAAGAGGAGACTTGGCCCAGTGTGTTAAAGTCATGAGGCTGATGTTTCACTTCTTCTACATGATACTGCATAGGCCTGGCCATCCATGGCACCAAACAGAACAGAGACACACACGGGATACACAGGATGGCCAATTAAAGAGGATATGATGCATGTACACACACAGTTGATTGCAAGCACACAAAGACACACATACACACACTGGAACAGCCGATATATGATAGAGTTATAGTTCACAATACTATACTGTGTAAAAGGTGGAGTGCTTTATTTAGGGTTGTGTTGTTTGTCTAGTAGTGATGACATCACCACTTCCTCCACCACAGAGGCGGGCTGCTCCCTCCACTGAGAAGACACTGCTGGGACCGGCCACCCCCTTAGGTTGTCAATGAGTCTGTCTTGATCTGAGGATTAGGCCAGCCGTTCCAATTACAGCCTGGTGCCTGGAGGTTTGTCAGGCATCGATGTGGATGCCCGTCCTGTCGATGGACCCCGTGCATATTCCAGGACCTCGTTGAGTGACAGGCGCCAGCCTGGGTTTTTATGCCAGGATACACTGACAGTACTGTGTGTGTGTGTGTGTGTGTGTGTGTGTGTGTGTGTGTGTGTGTGTGTGTGTGTGTGTGTGTGTGTGTGTGCCTGTGTGCATACGTGTATCCAAGACAAGTCTATAATAGTATGTTTACACATTCATTGTGCATTCATGCTCATTGGATGTCTCTACTGCATAATAGTTGATACCCTATCTGTCAGTCCATGTTGTACGGTCTAAACTAGCTGTCCATGTTCTAGTCTACAGTGTAGAATAAATGCTATGGCTCAGAGTGTAACATGTTCACCAGCTCAGCCCATAACTTAAATCACCCTCTACTCTCATTGATTGGGAGGCCAGCAGGGACTTTACACCCACAGAGTGCTGGGTCATGTGACACGTTAGATACTTAATATTCGCCACCTGGTGTTATTTACATGCCATTAAACGTGAGATGGGAGCTGCTGGCTCGGTGCTACAACTGAAACATTGTTACTTTGTACACACATCAGTATGAGGTGTAGAATAAGATATGTGTGTGTCAGGGAGAGACATCTTTGTATGTCTTGAAGGAGAGTTAATTAAGGTGTAACAAACTCTCAAGAACTTTTCCCCCATGTACAGTATTTGATAGCAACAGAACTGGTATAGGCCTGGGTGGTGTAATGCTATCCGAGGGAGATGTTAGAAGCCTGTAATTAAATATGAATGGAGTTCTGTTCGCTGCCCGGCCAGTTTGTTTGATTGAGTGCTGGCCTGGGAGGAAAAAGCTCATCAAATCAGTTTTGTTCGTGTCATTCTACACCCCTAACAACAGCCCCTGACAGACAGGGAATCTCGGTGTTCCCTTCTGTTTGAATGGGCGGACGGGAATGAGGGAGTCACCTGTATTCAAAGCTAATGGATTTGAAATAACCCACGAGGCCTGGGATTTAATGAGAGCTGGATTAATGAAAATGAAAAAAGGGGGCCCTCCCTCTGTGTCGGCCTGGCTCACATTGCATGACAACATTTTCAAATTACATGGCGGAGCAGATAATTCACTTATTCTGAGTAATTGGGTGCTGACCAGGGTTAATATGTTTGGTGTCATTAAATGGAAATATTCTGTTGTAAGTGGAACTGTATGATACATGGAGCAGTTTCAATAGAGCTGCTCTGAGCTCTGTTAGAGTTCCCTCTCTCTCTGCTGCCGGCTAGCTAGCTGGGGTCCTGTTTTATTTGAGGCAACTCAAGCATGAATTCTGCTCTGAGGGAAAAGATCGGGACAGTTATATTCAGTTCTGTTTGGTGCCCGGCTGAATGAAATGACCTTTAAGATAAAGCGAATCTCTTGAGCAAGTCAGGTGAAGAAAGGAGAGAACAGAGGAGGACAGATGGAGTGAAAGGAACTTTTTAAATACAGCTAGTGTCGGAGGGCTGGTAGCCATGGGTAGTTAAAAGACTGTTGTTCACTGTTAACCCCTCTCTGCCATCATCACAATGCCATAGAGGAGGAGCCGGTACATGTGGACACTCCTTATTTTGATACCAAGAGAGATTGACCAGCAGGGAATTACTTCTCTCAATCCCTCGTTTTCTTCTATTTTTGAAATATAAACTGTCAGAGTCTTGATGAGCCCTTGCTTACTTGCTAAATTATTTTGTGTGGAAAATCGAACTAACAGAGGCGAAGCAGGGTTTTCTGTTTTCTGGAGGCCAGTTAATTAACTTGCTCCTTCAACCTCCATTCAGATGGCAAAGTCCTGTAATTAGTTCTTCCCATAAAGCGGAGCTATTTTCTTTGGATGGGTCAACTTGAATTCCTCCTAACTCTACTGGAGGAGAATGCCTTCATTGCCCTGCCTCCCTCCACGCCGTAGCTTCAAGAGATGCCTCATAACCTGCATTTTCTTACTGATACACTGTAACACTCTAAAACTTAACCCAATGTGAAAAAAGAGGAACCATTAAAAGCCTGAAGAATGTGGTAATTCAGTCAGTTCGGGAACAACAAAACAAGCCCTCTGGTTGGTTGGTTCGTTACTGGTTGTCTGGTTGTTGTTGTTGTGCCAGTCTGGTGTCTTTGGGCAGTGCCACCCCCAACTTGCCAACACACTGTTTCACTGCCACTAACAAAAGGCTGACTGACTTTCGGGGACTTTTTTAGAAGTTAATCATGTACCCTAGAGTGGCGCGACACAGAAACACTGGTGTTTCTAAACCTTCCCCTGCAGCTCTGCCCATAATTGACTCTCCAATTGACTGCCTCTGCTTCCTGTCAGCGTTATATCTGTGTTCACACCAACACCG